TTTTTTTTTTTTTTTAGTGGCGGAAACGGGCTTCCATAGATGACTGATCAGTAAACTGAAAGAAAATATATTTTATGTTTTTTATGGCCTCCTAAATGTGAATATTGTGTAGTTTCTCAGATATCAAAAAGAGCCATTAAAAAAAACTGTTCATCAGACAATTTAATTATTTAAGTATTTCAATCAAAATCAACTCACCATCAGTTTAGAAATTATGGTAATGTCACACTATGGAAAACAACAGTTGGAGACGACCAAAATTACTACAATGAACTTCTTCAAAGTGACTTTGGTGTCTGTCAGTCTGATATCAGTTTGTGATTAAACAGGGTCAAACTGACAATTGAATGCAGTCTGTTTGTGATAATGTTGTATTTAACTGTGGTAAACTGGCTAAAGTTATAAATCACTTGCTGTCTATATACACAGAAATTCACAGTTCAACTACTTAATTAATTTTCAGTTACATATTGATTTATACAGCGCCAAATCACAAAATAAGTTGCCTCAAGGCACTTTATATTGTTAGATAAAGACTCTTCAATAATAAAAAGAAAACAGAGAAAATCCCAACAATCATATGGCCTCCTATGAGCAAGCACTTTGGCGAGAGTGGGAAGGAAAAACTCACTTTTAACAGGAAGAAACCTCCAACAGAACCAGGCTCGGGGAGGGGCGGGGCGGGGCCATCTGCCACAACCGGTTGGGGTGAGAGAAGGAAGACGGGATAAAAGAAACACTGTGGAAGAGAGCCAGAGATTAATAATCACTAATAACACTTCAGTGGGGCTGAGGGCTAAGCTAAGGGCTAACCCATAGTCTTTTCCTCACCAGCTCACGGTCACTAAACAACAAGATTGATGAGCAACTGTAGATTATCTTGCGCTGTGTGGATTTGCTCCTTGTTTTGCAACTGCTCCTTTATATGGCATATATAACCTGTATATAACTTGTACAAATCTGTGTAGATACTTACATTATTACATACATTCCCTGTGTAGGTACTTCTTTACCTTTAAGTCTACTTCATGGTTTCTCTTTATTCTCTCTATTCTAAAAGAATTTTACATTAAAAATCTACATACTGCTAACAGAGAGATGCCAAACTGTCTTTCATTGTTCTTGTAACAGTAACAATAAAGATTTTATTTAGAGTCCACTCAGAACTTAATTTGAAACCAAAACAGAATTTTGCAGGATGGTAAATTAGCAGCAAAATGACAGAGGGTCAGGAATTAAAACCAGAATACGGTCAGTTGATAACTTTGCTGCCTTGACTGCCTCAGACTGATTGCATCGTGCTGCCAATTTAGTTTAT